GTCTCGAAATACATGAGCTAACAGACTGAAATAAAGATAGAAGAGACGCCGGTCCTGCGGACGCCTGCAAGGCTACCTCGGTGTCTCGCAGGACTGAAGGCTAACTCCCGTGCTACTGCAGCTGCTGTCCAACACCTGGATCTGTGCAAAGAGCACAGAGTGTAGTATCAGCACAACCGACCCCATGTGCTGGTAAGTGTCTGGCCTAACTTGTGGTAGGCGTACCACCCGCTCCCATTTCATCAATCACTTGTGGTAGGTGTACCACCCGCTCCCATTTCATCAATCTTGTGGTAGGCGTACCACCCGCTCCCATTTCATCAATCGCAATATAACAAAATAATCCCGGCTGGGGGACAATAATGTATAACTTCCCGGCAAGGGAACAACAATATAATAACTTCCCGGCAAGGGAACAAAATATCAAATCAAATGTCCCGGCAAGGAAGAAACATCTATAACCACACTGGTCCCAACATTTAACTACCGCAGCTATAACCGATCCTGTTACAACATCTAACTGCCACAACTATAATCAATCCAGTTACGACATCTATCTACCACAACTATGATCAATCCTATTACAACATCTAACTACCACAGCTATAATCAAACTTGTTACTACACCTAACTACCTCAGCTATAACCAACCTATTACAACACTTAACTACCTCAGCTATAACCAACCTATTACAACACTTAACTACCTCAGCTATAACTATAGTCATCACTCAACACAAGGAAGCATTAACCTAAGCATCCGTAATATCAATTAAGAACACAGTAAAGGGAACCACAACTCAACAATAGCCCGCCAAGGGGGGCAACATGATGATCTCTTCTCTTTCTCACTTTTACTTCACAATTCTCTTCACAACTCGCGCCAATGCTCTAGAGGTTCAATTATCATTTATGCTTTCGCAATTCATTCTACGGCTGGAGCCAACGCTCCTCAATATTCGTAAGTCACGATTCTTTCCACAACTTTGCACAACAAATAGAAATACTCACCAAGGCATGAATAATACAACGAAGTCATGAAAATCACAATATAGGACTCACGGTCATGCTTGACACCAACGTATAGATACTCATCACCTTACCTATATGTCGTACTCGACAATTACCACATAGCAAATAGGACTCAACTCCTAATCCCTCAAGCTAAGGTTAGACCGAACACTTACCTCGATGCTTTGAATTCAACTCAAGTCTCAATTATAGCTTTTCTCCTCGACTCCACCACCAATCCGCTCGAATCTAGTCACAAGTTACTTAATTACATCAATAAACCCTAAATGAATCAATTTGAATGCACAAAAATGAATTTCCCAAAGTTTTTTCCAAAATTTCCAAAATTGCCCCCGGGCCCACGTGGTCAAAACTCGAGGTTCGAACCAAAACCCAATTACCCATTCCCCCACGAACCCAAATATATGATTCGTTTTGAAATCGGACCTCAAATTGAGGTCCAAATCCCAAATTTTAGAAAAACCTAGGTTCTACCCAAAACCCCCAATTTCACCCATGAGAATCATTGATTTTAAGTTGAAAACATGTTAAATGATGTTAATGATTGAAAGAATTGAGTAAAAATCGACTTACAAATGATTTGGAAGGAAATTGTTCTTGAAAAATCGCCCAAGGAGTTTGTGTTTTGAAAGAATGGTGAAAACTGGTTAAAATTCGACTAAGCAAAAAATCTGCTGGGCCTCAGATGTGGGAAATGCGAATTGGGGTTCACAATTGCGAACCCCGACCAGTTATGGTAATTGCGAACCATGAAGAAAATTGGGGACTTCGCATTTGCGAACATAGTACAAAAGGAACACCTTCGCATTTGCGAAGGTAAGCCTCGCATTTGCGAGAAGGGGCAGACCTGGGCTATCTTCGCAATTGCGAGAAGCCATTCGCATTTGCGATATCGTATTCGCGAACCAGGCTTCGCAAATGCGAAGCCTGCAGGTCAGAAATGCAACAACTGAGTTCCAAATTCCAAAAATGCACTCGTGGCCTATCCAAAACTCCCCCGAGCCCTCGGGGCTCCAAACCAAACATACACACAACCTCAAAAACATTCTACGGACTTATCCGTGCGATCAAATCGCCAAAATAACATCATATTCATCGAATTAAGCCTTAAAATTAATTATTTCTTCCCAATTTTTCATAACACATCAAATTTCCATTTTAAGTCCGAAACACGTCAAACGACGTCCGTTTTCAACCAAACTTTACAGAAAGTGCTTAAATCATATATAAGACTTGTACCGGGTGCCGGAACCAAAATACGGGCCCGATACCATAGTCTTATAATAAAATTTCATTCCCAATTTCCTTAATTAATTCCAGAAAACAATTTCACACAAAAATTCATTTCTCGGGCTTGGGACCTCGGAATTCGATTCCGGGCATACGCCCAAGTCCCATATTTTCCTGCGTACCCTCCGGGTCGTCAAATCATGGGTCCGGGTCCGTTCACCTAAAATATTGACTGAAGTCAAATTTATTCATTTTAATATCAAAATTTAGTATTTTTCTCACAGAATTCATATTTAAGCTTTCCGGCTATGCGCCCGGACCGAGCACGCATATCGAGGCAACCCTAAATAAGGTTTTCAAGTCATCGGAAGTACAAAATGGGTAAGAAAACAGGTGATGAACCTTTGGCTAATTTTGTCGTATGCTAACTCTTTTATCGTATGCTAACTCTATTTCTACGCTGGCTAATTTTGTATAGTCATGTATACCAGTTAACTTTTTTTTCTGAACCAAACAGCATTCAAGATTTCAGCTGTAGAGTGTGGAAATATAGCTTTTTGTACACTTGGTATTGTTTACCGATAAGAAATAAAATACTAGTCTTATTTATTTTGTTGCAGAAGAGAATAAGAGATTCAGTTAATGAATTAAGAGGTGCTACAAGGAATATTTTTGTACACTTAATAATATTGCAAGATGCAGAAACATCAACAGTACCATCACCATCACCAATTCATGCCGTAGAGAATGAAAAGAATACCACAAAAGAGGAAAGTGATGCTACCACTTTTACTATTGTGTAGGTTGAACGAAATACTTTAGGACCAAAAGCAAGTAATTGAAATACCTCATTACTTAGTATATGTGATGCTAGTGCCATCATGCTCTCTTTCAATAGTTTTTGGTTACGCATTATGGCTTCTCGATTTTTCCGCTCTTCCTCAAGCTTAATCTTTACTTCCTTTAGCTGGCATTCTACACTCTCTCGTTTACGACGCTCTTCTTCTACCTCTTTTTGTTGTGCTTGTAGTTTCTCTTGAATTCTATTCATGGATCTCCTACTTGTTGAATTAACTCCCGAACCTTGACCACGGCATTAACTTGACATTTCTCCAACAACTTTCACAAATGCAGCATTAACAACTGGGTCCAAATCAGTATCTTCTTCAATTTCTTGAATTTGTTCGGCAATATATTCATTCACCTTATCCTACAAAAAATTTATATAGGCTTTAACTTTAAATATTTATTTCTACAGACTCACATTCTAGGAATAAGGATAATAGTCTCGCACGTACATGTAACTCAGCAGATGCATCATTAACCCAATGTCCATTCTTCATGTGAGTCAATTCCCAAAGTTTCTGCAAGTTTGGCTCTTTTCCAGTGCTTGTATCTCTCTACCAAAATAAATCAAATTATGTTATAAAATTAAAAATAACCAAAATTCGTCAAAATAAAATATATGTTACCTGTTAAAAAGATATTGCCTGGAAGGATTTTCTGCCGCAAATATGATTCAGTTCTTGTTTTGCCTTATTGGTTTTGTTTCGATCACTCATTCTCTGTATTGAATTTGAATTTGTAAATATATTTTCTTGATGAATTATAAGAAGTAGAATAAGAAAATAAATAATTTACAAAGTTAAATCAATTTAATTTTGGTGTATTCCTAATTAATTACCTTAAAAGTATCAGAATTGAAATACTCAACCAAGAATTTCCATTCAGCTTCACTAACATCGGCTGGCATGTTCTGCAAGCGTTCCTCCTTTGTAACATATTTTTTGAAATGATCATGGAGCCTACTACGACGATATCTATATAAATTATTAGCTGTTTTAAGGATAGTATCTCGATTGTGTTGTGTGTCTGGAAGTTGGAAGGTGTCCTGAATTCAGAATAAACTTAAGTGAGCTTACTTTAAATAGAATTGTGATTGTTTGCCAATGAATCGAGGACTGTTTCAGAGTTAGCTTCTCTAAAGTTGGCTTACCACTATAGTTTATTTGTATACTTACATTGAGAGTTTCCTTATGTTTACTAAACCAACAAGAAAATTCTAAGGGAACAGAGTGAATTACCAGCATATGAGCAATAATCGTATCTTTTGCTATATCAGGAACTTCCTTCCAATTCTTGACATCATGCCTAGCGTTATGCATAACTTTAACAGAGAGCTCACTAATAAAATTATTAGCTCCAGGACCTACTGCTGCAGTTCGATCTGGTGGAATAATCACCTTCAACTCTTCATTGTCACTATCTTTGCGTTTCTTTTGGATTGAAAGTCCTGTTGTCTTCCCTCTTCCTTTTCTCTTTTTATCTTCAGCTATATATGAAAAAATTTAGATGTATAGTAAACATAATATATACAAGCTAGAGATTTTATAGGGTAGAATTTTAACAAATAAATTAACTTTCCTGGCGGTGGGTTTGAGATTACATCAACAGTTTAATCATCATTAGAAACATGCACATCCGTCATCATGATATGCTGTAACACATTAAAAAAAATTATATTATTGGACTAGTTGAATGTACAAGTGACAGAAGCAAAATACTAAGAAAGAGACAATATATTTTCAGAAACCGAGAGAAAGAAATCAATTGAAAGCAAAAATTATAAAAAATTACAAAAATAGAAAAGAAATTAACCATTTCGGCAAAGTGATGGAAATATTTTTGTGAAGAAAGCGATTGAAATAGGCAAACTTATATTAAAGACTAGTTGAAAATTACAACCAGTCATCATCCTCAATTTCATCAAACTCATCAGAAAGATATTCTTCATCTGCACTGAAGTCATCTCCATTTTCATGATCAGATTCATCAAAAGCTTCTAAGTGTACTTCTTCCTCATTACTTAGAGAAGGTGCATCTACACTCACTCCATCAATGTCTTCTCTTTGTATTTTAATAACATCATTGTCGGACTCTGTTTGAAGATCTACTTTTCCTCTTTCAACCAAATCAATCAGTTGATACGGCTCCGTTTCATCTTCTTGTTCGGGTAAATCAAACGAATTCCGTGGTCTTACTCTTACCGCAGCATGCCAATTCTCATTTTGATCGTGTTTAACATAATACACAGATTGTGCTTGTGAGCCTAAAATGAATGGATCATTTGTATAATAGAGTCGTGTCACAGCTACACATATGAATCCATATTCATCCCTTTTATAACCTCTACATTGACTACGATCTTGAGTAGGAACGTCAAACCAGTCACACTGGAATAATATGATTGAATTATTATCCAAATATTGGATCTCTAAAATCTTTCTTATCTTTTCATAATAATCAACATTTCCTGTATGTTCATCACTTTTCACAACTACACCACTATTTTGAGTTTTCAAACCTAGCTCAGATTTCATTGTTCGAAACCTAAACCCATTCATGATATATCCATTATGGCAATAAGCACGAGGATCTGGACGTCTTGCCAAAGCTAGTAATCCACTGGTAATTCGGCCATCACCATTTTCTTTTAACTGTACCACCTATAATATTTCAATTACAAACTCACAAACATTAATATTAGTTAAAAAATATAATTTATAAATTATCCTAAATAAAGATAAACAAGCATCAAATGATATAATTTACCTTTTTCTCAAACCACAAAGGAAATTCCTCCTTGTGCCTCTTGAAAACATTTCTAGTATTCTCGTTCCTTAATATTTCTAAGTGTTGCCTATGGAATGTGAGCATTTAATAAAATCAAAACAAATAATATTAAAACATAGTTGTTGAGATTTCCATAAAAATAAAAGGATGTAAACTAACTAAAAGGTATCTTACTCAATTCAAGGTCTGACTTCCTTACAATTTTGGAGGATATAAAAATGAGCTTGATTGATTTTATGAGTGCTCAAGTTTATCCAAGCACCCCCTACTAAAGGGTTACCACGACAATTAAATACAGATAAGCCATTTGGTTCGATATTAGAAGAATCAAAATTTTTATCCGGACGATTTTGCTTTGTCTCCATATCAGTCAAATATTTGGAACAGAATGTCATGCACTCCTCAGCAAGATATCCCTCGGCAGTTGATCCTTCCGGGCGAGCTTTATTTCGTACATAACCTTTCAAGGTGCGCAAAAATCTATGACGTAAAAATAGATCAATTTTGCAACAAATTTTAACTAGAAGAGCAACTAAAGGAATAGTTTAGAGGAACAAGAATCCAACCTTTCAATGTAATACATCCATCGAAATTGAACGGGACCATCCAACTTTGCCTCCACTTCCAAATGAATTACCAAATGAACCATAACATCAAAGAACGTTGGCGAAAACACACGTTCTAATTTACAAATTGTCACCCGTATACTTTTATCTAGTTGATCTAACTTCTCCACATAAAACTCTTTAGCGCACAAATCGCTAAACAATAATGACAGTTCAACTAATGGATCATATGCATCCTTTGGCAAAATCCCTTTGATGATAAGTGGAAAAATGCGTTGAAAAAAACATGGTGGTCATGACTTTTAAGTCCGAAAATTCTTGCTTCCTTAACATTGACACAACGACTAATGTTAGAAGCATAAGCATCAGGAAACTTGACTTCTTTAATGAGCTGACAAAATTGAATCTTCTCAGTTTTAGACATTGTATAGCTTGCTGGAGGAAGTATGTACTTATTACCACTTTTTATTGGATGGAGGGGTTTTTTTATTTTCATCTCTTGTACGTCCAATCGAGATTTTAACGTGTCCTTTGTTTTTCCTTCAATATCTAATAACGTTCCTATCACACTTTCACTGATGTTTTTTTCTATATGCATCACATCCAAATTATGTCTCAACAATAAAGTCCTCCAATATGGGATTTCAAAGAATACACTTCTTTTCTTCCAATTGTCATATCTTATTGCATCTCGTTTTCTTTTTCTTGTGCTGTTGTCAACTAACATTTGTGAGGATGTGTTAAGTTGTGCAAGCACATCATCTCCACTCAAAGCTTGTGGTGCAAGTCTTTCTTCCTTTGTGTTATCAAAAGAACTTTTATTTCGACGATAGGGATGATTCATTTCCAAGAACCTACGATGACCCATATAGCATTGCTTGCGATCGTATTTCAAGTAAATGGAACAAGTATGTATATGACAAACCGGACAAGCTAATTTACCTTTAGTGCTCCAACCGGACAAAATACCATAAGCTGAAAAGTCATTAATTGTCCACAACAAAGAAGCACGCAAGAAAAAATTTTGTTTCATAAAAGCATCATAAGTCTCAATTCCACTCTCCGATAAGGTTTTCAAATCATCTACCAAGAGGTGGAGATACACATCAATATCCATACCAGGGCCTTTTGGTCCAGGAATAAGCAAAGACAACAAAAGATTTGATTCTTTCATGCATAGCCATGGGGGAAGATTATATAGGATCAACACTACCGGCCACATACTATAAGCATTACTCATTGAACCAAAAGGATTAAAGCCATCTGAAGCAAGCCCAAGCCTTACATTATGTGGATCTGAAGCAAAACTTGGATATTTTTCATCAAATTTTTTCCATGCCAAGGAGTCAGCTGGATGTCGTAAAACTCCATCATCGACTTTCTTATTTTTGTGCCATCTCATATCTTCAGCGGTACGTTTTGTCATAAACAATCGTTGTAATCTTGGTATGATAGGAAAGTATCTAAGAATTTTTCTAGAAATTCCTTTATTTCTCTTATTCGAATTTTCTGAAGCAACCTCTTCATCAGCATGTTCTCCTTTTCTTACCATCCATCTTTTCTTACCATATTTAGGGCATTGCTCAAGATCCGCATATTCCTTTCTATATAAAATGCAATTATTAACACATGCATCTATCTTCACATAATCTAAACCCAAACCTTTAATTATCTTTTGAACTTCATAGATAGAATTCGGGAGCATATTTCCTTTGGGTAAAACATCACTCAATAGTTTCAATAAAGAGTCAAATGAGGTATTACTCCAGCCATATAGACACTTCATTTGAAAAAGACGTATTACAAACGAGAGTTTGGAGAACTTTTCACAATCAGGATATAACTTTTGCTTTGCATCGTTTAATAACCTATAGAAAATTTTAGCTTTTGTATTCGGCTCTTCGCAACTAGACTCACTGTTCTAATCAAACTCATCACTATGAGTGGGAATACCACGATACAAGTCATGCAACATTTCAAAAGTGGAAGCATCATCATTTCCTATATCTGAATCTGTACCAACATTTGTTCCATCATCTGAAGATGAATCCGACTCACCATGATAAATTCACCTATCATATGTTGAATCTATTCCCCGTCTAAGTAAATCCATCTTTACTTCTTCTCGCGTTTTCCAAAGAACATTGTTACACTTAATACACGAACATTGAATTCTTACACCAACATTAGAATTAGAAAATGCGAAGTTTAAAAACTGTTCTACACCATTCAAGTATTGAGGTAACGCCCTATTCTTAATGAATATCCAGCTCTTATCTATCATGTACTTACCTACAATAAAATATGTAAAACTATATGATTGTCTTTCTCTCTATTTTTTATTATTTGCTGTATCGGGAAAAAATAGACTAGAGAATTTCTTAGAAACATAAGGCTTTGAGTTGAACTGAAAAGCCAAATATTTAGAACAGATAAGCTATGAATATTAGTGGACAAAATTAGGCAAACAAAAGTTCCACTTTGAGCTATGTATATTAAGCAAACAAAATTTTTACTTTGAGACTCTTGTTTATTGTGGGAATCACAGAAGTTAATGTCTAGACAGAGTATGTGCCCTTCTTAAAAAATCGCATAGGAGCACCAACGTGATTCGATTCAGCTATGGTTGGACAATTTTTCTCTGTCACACTTTCTCATGAATTAACAGAGTGCAAGGGAATGAAATACTTATTTGCTAAGAATTTTCTTTTCTCAAAAAATAAAATAATATAAATACTTAGTAAAACAATACATTTTTCCAAAGTTGAAAGCATCTACAATTGCAAATCACTCATACTACAACCAGTGTAACTAGAAATACTCCATGCTTTTGATGAGTAATCCAGAATTTATTTTACGTCGGATTCGATAGACCCTCGGCTAAGGATAGAATGAGAAATAATATACTAAATATTCTGAAGTCCAAATAAAGAAATCTACAATTTAAGATTAAAACTTCACAAGATGTTAGTACTAAATGAAGGACACTTTAATGGATACATATATAGTGGCTTCAATATTCCACCTGACTGTTTTGATGAAATTTTTGAAATTAACTTTCAGAGTATTTTGGGTAGAAAAGAAAGGGTAGAACCATTCGTGGAATACATATATCTATTGAAGATTAGTAATCACTTGCCAAATTATTGAACGATTGTGATATCCAGCAACCATGACATAATCAACATAGATGAATAGCAATACACATGAATAAAATATTCAAGAACCAAAAATTAGACAATGGACATAAAGAAAACTAATGAACCAGACCAACACCAGAAATAACATCAAGTGATTGATAAACTTCTCACAAAATTAGTATTAAAACTTAAAGTGTAAAACTATTGACCTTCAATATAATCTATTAACTTCGAGAAAATATTGTTTCACATTCATATGAAAGGCAATAGAAAAGATCCATAATTCATATGGAAGGCAACAGAAAAGATCCATAATGCTACACGTAACGACAAAAAAGATCCATTCATAAAAAGAATAAGAAATTGGACAACGCTAAAAGAAAAACATTATGCAAAGTTTCTTTCTGAAAACAGTATTTTCATTATTCGGTGAACCAGCAATCGGTAAAGCAATTTGAATAGGGTTCTTACCGGTGCTTTTTCGATCAGCAGTAATACGACGCAGCAAGGAGGATGAAAGCAGAGAAGGAGCTCATCCAAGAATAGCAGATAAGAAAAACCCTAGCCAGATTGGTTACTAGAGAGTGCGCTAATAATTCAAGAAAAGTTACTAAAAAGAGAAAAGTTTGCCGCGTTTAATTTTGGCGGAAAACTGGAAAGTTTTAGGCCACAACCCACAACCCACGAACCTTCTTGGCAAACTATTATGTATTGCCAACAAAAAGATTTTGTTGTTGCAAATTCTGTTTATATTGTAAGTTTATTATGTTAAAAGGTCTATTTTTTGCAACAACTAAAATCAGTTGTTGCCATTTATTAAATTCGGCAACAATACCATAATTGTTGCTAGAATATTTTTAAAATTTAAATTTTATTTTCTGAACCATAGAATATGGCAACAAAATTAATACGTTTGCCAACAATAAAAATTTGTTGCAAAAAAGTTTATTCTATAGCAACAAATTTGTGGAATTGTTGCCATTTATCTATTTTTGCCAGCAATATTTCAGTTGTTGCTAAAACATTGTTGCAAATTCCATACTTTCTTGTAGTGCTAGTAGTTGATTTGAGTTCTGTGCAGGCATAAACAATCTTAGACCAGGTGCCTCTTTTATATACTTCACTACTCTAAGAGCAGCTTCCATATAGGAGATCATTAGCATGTGCATATATTGACTTAGCACCTGAACTGCAAAAGTCATGTCAGGTCTAATCATAATAAGGTATAACAACCTTCCTACTAGTCTCTGATAGGATCCTATGTCCTTGAGTAATTCATCTTTAGAATTACTTTGTACATGTTTGTCATACTTATGAGAAGTTAGCTTCTAATTTAACTCTAAAGGAGTACCAATTGGTTTTGATCCTCCTAGCTCTGACTTAGCTATGAGTTCTAGAGTATACTTCCTTTGGCACATCACAATGCCCTCGTCTGACCTTGCAAATTTAATTTCAAGGGTAAAATTCAATTCTCTGAAGTGTTTCATTTTAAACTTGGTCTGTAATTCATCTCTTCTCTAATCTAACAAAATTTGGTAGTTGCCTATGATTAGCAGGCCATCAACATAGACTAGAACCACTGTCAGATCACAATGAGTCTTCTTGGTAAATAAAGAGTAATCAAAATGACTTTATTGAAACCCTATTTGTGATAGGGCTTCTGTCGGCTTCTTGTTCCATTACCTGGGTGCTTTTCTTAAGACCAGATAATGATTTATGTAGTTTGCAGACCTTCATAATCTTCCTGTGTCTAGCAAACCCCTGAGAAATATGCATATAGACATCCTCTAGAAGATTCCCATTTAGAAATGCATTATGAATATCCATTTGATAGATCACCCAACTCCTAGAAGCAGCAAGGACCACAATAGATCTAACTGTCACCATTGGCCACATGTGAAAAGATTTCTGTGTAGTCAAGTCCCTCCTATTGACTATAACCCTTAGCAACCAACCTAGCCTTGTATCTCTCTACTTCTCCTGAGGTCTTATATTTGATTTTAAAAATCCACTTATACCCAATAGGGGTCTTATCAGGAGGTAGATTCACTATACTCCATGTATGATTTGTTTCCAAGGCATTAATTTCAAGCTACATTGCTTCTACCCGCTTAGGATCCACCACTGCTTTTGCAAAGTTCCTAGGTTCAGTAGCAGTTGCGTAAGGTGACATTGTATGTCTATAAGGAGGTTTGACATTGTCATAGGTGAAATACGCAGACACCTTTTCTTTGAAATGGTCATATAATCTTTCATCCAGAGATGGTCAGCACCTTTACTGGATCTTCTAAGAGACTGATCAGGAGGTGGTTCATGTAAATGTTTATCAGGGACACGATTTCTACAGTTGGTGCTATAGTTGAAGAAGGTTGTGACTCCCCTTGACCTTTAATATCAGATAAATGAAGTGATGGACCGGAGACCCTTGTAGTACCACTTGATGGTGTAACATTCAGATCAGTTATGCTGCACTCACCTGGTGATATTGAGTAAAGAACAGAAAACATAGGATTACTTGCTTGCTTCATGTGCTTGAAAGGAAATAAATATTATTGAAACACCACATTCCTACTTACAAAGAAGGACTTTATATGCAAAACATATAGCTAGTATCCCTGTTGAGAGGGAGAATATCGCATCAATACTGTTGGAATGGCTCTGGAAGCACATATGCTCTTTTGAACTAGTTGCATAACAGAGATATCCAAACACTCTAAGATGTGAGAGAGAAGGGGATTGCAAATAAAGCATCTCAAAAGGAGTCTTGTCATGTAGAACTATTGAAGGCAGTCTATTAATAAGATAGAATGCAGTACGGACACAGTCACCCCAAAATCTCAAAGGGACTACAGCTTGAAACCTGAGAGACATGGCCATTTCCAAAATTGTCTTATGCTTCTTTTCAACTACTCCATTTTATTTTGGAGTATAGACACAGAAGATTTGGTGTGCAATGCCAAGGCTAGACAATAACTGATGAAACTCACTACAATAAAATTCACTACCATTATCTGTTCTGAGAGTTTTAACAGTAGTAAAAAACATATTTTGTATTCTAATCAAAAAGTCTCTCAGAACAACTATACTATAAGATTTAGAGTTAATAAAAAAAGTACCCAAGTGTATCTGATATAGTCATCTACAACTGTAATAAAGTACTGCTTTCCATCATAGGTAGGAACTCTATAAGGTCCCCAATTATCACATTGTAGTAGATCAAAAGCAGACTTAGAGAGTGTAGTACTCAAGTGAAAATGTAGTTTTGCTTGCTTTGCTAATGGACGAACAATACAGTGATGTGGAACTACATTCTTTAAGAATCTAAGTGACTCATGTTTCTTAATTATATCAAGAGGTGCATGACCTAACCTCAAATGGCATAAATGAAGAATCAGAATTAAGACTAGTTGTG